AATTAGAATCGCGATGCATCGTCATGACGATTATTTTGCACACCCTTATACCCGATGCGCTACTAAGCAGCCCCTCATATGCTGGTTTGTTTTAAAAAATAACCCTAATAGATCACACAGAGGTTTGTAGCAAAAATATGGCAAAATACCTAACAGTTAAAGAAGTTTGCTTACATAAAGCGAGAAGAATAACTTCAAGAGATAAGAAGAAATTTGAATTACTTAAAAAACAAACAAAAGAAAAAACAAACATTTTTCAGAATGCTGTGGGACCCCATATAATACCTCATCAAGGCTTATACAATCATTTTTAATGGGGTGTGAAAATAGCTGGGCTTTGTGTGAGAAATGCTGGACGGATGATGGGCAACATTGACGAGTTGCAGCCTACCTTCGCATCTGCACCCACGGTCTCTTCCTTTTTGTTCTTCTCCAGGTCTGATGAAGAGACGCACTCAATGCTCTCCTCTGTGGTGGCTTCAAGGTCTGTCTCCTCTGACAACGGCGACCTCTCCTTCACTGCGAGAGAGACGACATGAATCGGAGAGAGTTTCATTCTGAGTGTCCACCTCATCTCCAGGCAGTGATAGCTGCACAGAACCCACAGAAGTTCACACAAGCCCCAGTTCACTCATTTAAAACTAATAAAGCATCTTTAATTTAAAAAAATCAGAGTGGGATTGTTGACATCTCTTTCCAGGCTGCAGTAAATGAGTGCTTCAGTTGGATCTTGGAGTTTTGTTTGTCAAAGAAAGCCTGGGGAGGTTTTGTGCTCTTGTGTGAAACTGAGATGACGAATGCCTGACAATCGAGAGGAGAGCAAAGCGAAAGGATGTGTTTTGTATTTGTGAGTGTGTGCGTAGGTATGAGTAACCTGGTGCTGCCTCCAGCTCCTCCGCTTTCCCCTCATCATCCTCCTGATCCCCGCTTTTCTGCTGCAGGGTCAGCTGGTGACACACGTCAAACGCCTGACCCACGGTGCGCACGATTCTCATGGCTTGAGACTGTGTGGGAGGACAAAGAGAAAAGGTTTGTGTTGGTTAGAGGTGGAGCGGTAGGGGTAGAGGGAAGCAGTGGGATGAGGAGCACATTGAAAAGGAGACATATAATTAGGCCACGCAGCAGGCGAGGAAATAAGCTGCCGGGGGAGACATGACACAGAATGTGACCATTTGTGACAGGTAATGAAAAAGACAATAAATTGTAAAGGTAGGAAGTAAACGGAATTTATGTTAAGGGCAACTTTGATATATAGGGGATGGAGAAAATATCATGAAACTCAGTCAAACATCATAAATGTAAGTGATACATTTACCTTTAATTACAGTTTTTTTCACATTTCTGTCACTTTTTCATACTTGAGGATAAAATTGATGGTTTAGTTTTATCTGTCATTTCAAAACAGTAACACAGCTGTGAAAAAGCATTTATCTTCTAATGCAACTAGTGTTGCACCGATACCAGTACTGGACAGGGCCCCGAGCACCAGCACTAAATTGGTGGTATTGGAATCGCCGTGTACCAGCAAATAGGGCACTGATACAGTTTTGAGATCCAAAAGTTTCTTCAACTATTGTCGCCCATTCCAGGTAGGCAATAAAACGTTCTACTGGATTCACTTTGTATTAGTTTTTTCCTGCTTCACAAAGGTAGGCAGCAGCTTGACAAAGCCATGATGGCAATTATTTTACATCCAAGTAGTATGCAGTTCTTCATATATACACACACACACCTCAATTTCAAACAGATGGTATCGGATCGGTATCGGCCAATACTGCACAGCCAGTTATCGGGCATCAAAAATGGCATCAGTACAACACTAAATGTGACATTTAGAGATGAATTCTGCAAAGTCATTGACTCAGTTCAATCAGTCACATTTCCTTACTTATAAAACTTTTAACCAATTTGTCGTGGGATTTGATTAAGTTAATTCTCTAAAGTGCCTTGAGATGACATGTGTTGTGAATTGCCTCTGTATACATAAACTGAACTGAATATTTATTTTCCACCCTGAGCATAGAAGTTACAAGAATCAGCTAAATGTTTGAGATGCCAAGACTTTCAGCATCACCCCTCCCCCCTACACACACACACACACACACACACACACACACACACACACACACACACACAAAAAAAGCTCCGTAATGTTCTCCAGCACAGCCTTCTAAATCAGCTGGAATAAGAGGTTATCAACCGTGTCCTTCCCCACTCTCACCAAAGGTGATGCTTTCAATCTTGGGAGTTGGCAGGAGCTGTGTCAAAAATGAATTCATTGCTGCCTGCCTCTGGAGGATCCTCCATTCTGAAGCTATTCAGTCAATATGTCAAGGTAGCTCAAGCCTGAGAGAGGTCTAATCAAATGCAACGGCAAAATAAATTCCAGCAAAACCAGAAATGGTGTGAGGAAATTAATTAGATTGTTCTGTCAATACAGATCAGAGCAGCGAATTTTGCCTGTGAAATATAAAGTTGGCATAACAGAATTTGCAGAACCAAACACAAGAGGCTGCATTGATGAGCTGACATCCAGGCCTCGCTCCACAACACGCCGTGATGAAAATAAATCAAATCTTTTCTAATCAGCTAATCCATCTCCTCCTACTCAGCACACATGCTTGGTCTGCAACACACAGATACGGCTTCACAGAGCCGGGGAGGTACAGCAGAGAGAAGGCACCACTGACTGTGTCCCTGACAATAGGGTGGGTGTTTTGTTCAGCACTGGTACTGTAAAAAAAATGTCTTGATGTGCAGAGCAAAAGAGTCCCCCTTTTTTTTCCTCTTCCCACCAGAATGATTAGTATTCAGCTATGCTAAGTTGCTGTTGGCGTGGTATCCATGGTGAAGGGATGGGAGTAAACCTCACTCATGCTCCATCTTTATCATGGAAGAAAAAACGCAGCTCAGCTTGTAATTCAGATGTGGAGAGGAGAAAGCTTTCCTTTTTTTCTCTTCATTATGAACTTGAACAGTCTGTCTATTCTACTCTGCATCTTGCACAAATTTTCTTAACATTAGTGCTTTGATAGGCTTTGAAATATTGCGCCTACTAAATGTACTATTAGCACCCAGACATCCGCAGTTATATTTTTTATATTTCTATTTTTAAAAAACACAGCGGCGCGTGTATGACGTCATCCACGCGCCATTCATTCTTCCTATCCAGCGGAAGGATGACGTCATACACACGACGATTTGTTTATTAAAAATAGAAATATTAAAAAAATAACTGCGGATGTCTGGGGGACAGTGATTCGCCTACATGTTATGAATGCTGGCGTAGCATAAATTATGAACAGTTTAGTTTGTGCCTTCAAGTCGTTGCCCATAGGTAGACGTTACTTGGATATAACCTAACGGAATATCTTCAGAACGGCTCCAAATGACACAAAACTCATTTGGGTGAGTGGAACATGATGTAATAATGTGAAATCAAGGGCCCAATGTAAAAAACACGGCATTCCCCTTTAATCTGTCGGCGTGTGTTCACAGAACAACAGTTTGGAAGTTATTTATTAACATAAACTCACCACAGTAATTAATAGTAAAAACTATTCTCTTAATTTCGCAGAATAAACTTCATCACAGGAAACACTACTTTGGGATGCATAGAGCATGGCATGCACACATTTTTTTGGTTTTTCACCCAATATATATTTTCTAATTTTTCGGACACTTCAAAATGAAGCAAACACTATAAAATAAATCCAAATAAGACAAACTGAATGTTGTGATTGAAGTAAAACAACTTACTCACTTCACAGCTAAAAGTGGGGGTATTACATTCGCTTTGTGCATCATTCTTCCATCCATCTTGTGCAAAAGTTGAGATACACAATTGATTTTTTTGAAAGATTCACAACATGACCCTGAAATTCGTAAGGTTTGACTTAGTTTTTATATTTAATTAAAAAAAACAACACTCCATCTGGTAGATTAAATCTAAGCAATTATCCTCACTGCCCAAACCAACAGCATGCTGAATGCTGTCTATGGAGAGCAGCCACCATTCCTCAATAACTCCACATTAACCAATTTAATAACAAATCAAATCACATGAGTTTCCCAGCTGAACAAATAAAGATGCTAATTGTCAGGTGATCATTAATCAAAGCAGAGGAAGGGAGACAATTAAAAAACACAGAAAATCAAATAGATTTTAGTCTGCTGTATCACTGAAGCACACAGTTAAAGAATAATAATAATGAATTATAATGATTACAGTTGTTTCAATATGTAGATCTAATCTGGTTAAAATTTCAATTATTATTTGGATTTTTTTCAAAATAAAAATAAACTGGTGGTTTTTGCTGGTTTTAAAATAAAATCAGTAAAACCAAACAAATCCAAAATTTAAAAAGGCGGCTTTTTCTCTTTTTGATTGTTAATTTAAAGACACAACTATTATTTTATTTGTGTGCCAATTGAATTATGGTCTAAACTTCTGTCTCATATTTTTTAATTAGCATTAACATGGTGAACATTTCTTTGTAGACATGTGTTGCCTTATTCACAGGATGTCGGGCTAACTGTTCACAGTATGGATATAGTTTAAACTGAACAAAATTCACTGCTACAGTGCCCATTCTGCATTGTTGTTACCCTGGCAACCGCTCAGCATTTTCTGTTTTCACGTTGGGATCTCAACTCCAAACTAAAAGCATACATGGATGGTCATTTACTACAGAAGCCGAGAGTGGTCGTACTCGACTTTTTTTTTTTCCCCTTTGCCTTCTCAAGATAATGACATAACTATCTCATTATCATGGTTAAACCTTCAATCGTTTTCTCGAGATAACAGAATTATCTCGTTATAACAAGAAAACAGTTATTGATTTCTTGAGATGATTAACCTGTTTGAGTAATGGATGAAGCTGGCGAACAGCCCTGAATTCCCAGTCCATTCATGCCTGTGGTTTCCATAGTTGTGCAGTCGCGGTGCTGTGTGCCCAAATAATCCGTTCTTTTAGTTTCCTTTTTCTTTTCACTCACTCTCAGGTCGTGGTGGATGATTGGATTGCATGGAATACCGTAGAAACAAATCTGTTTTTTTTTTAATGAAAACCTTTAAAGGAATAGTACACCCAAAACATG